AGGATCAACAGGGACAAAGAGACCCAGAAGGATGAAGGGGGGACAAGCGCACGATCTGAATGTTTAGATCAACAGGGACAAAGAGACCTTCATCCAAGGTTCCGACATCATGCAGCTAAGCCCATCCGCTGAGTTTATCAGCAAGGCTTGCTTCGATCCTTGACATTCTTGTACATCAGAAGAGAGCAGCCAAAAACTGAATCTCCACACAGGTTGTGCAAAAAGTGCAATCCCCAAGAAAGAAAGATGGAGTTGCAGTTTCAATTTGTTGTGGGCGGGAACTGTCACAGTAGTCTGGCCAGGTAGTGGTGGTGCTAGTGGTGTTAGTGTCTTTTTGTTGCAGTTGCAGTTGCAGTTGCAGTTGTTGCTGTTGTTGTTGTTGTTGTTGTTGTTGTTGTTGTTTCTTGTTGTTGTTTATTGTTTATTGTTTCGGTCATGGTCATCGTGGTTGTGGTCGTGGTGGTTTTGTTTGTGGCCGTTGCAATTGTCGTTGCTTTCAAGTTCGTGCGCAATTCAATTGAGACGTTGTCGATTTGATTCAGTCAACATTCATTGCAAGTTTGTTGCAAGGAGTTCACGCATTTTGCAGACGTTTGCGTTCCATGTTTTTCTGTGCAATTCTTGGAGGATTATGATTCCGACTCCATGCCCAGTCGGGCTGCGGGGTCCGTGCCTTCAGAATCAACCACAACGCTTGCGGTTGCAGCGCTGCAGCGGAAGACGAAGGCAATCAAATCCTGATTTTTCCTTGAACAGGCTCACCTCAGAGTCTTTAAAAGTGTCAATATGCTCCAAGCCCACGCCTTCAGTATGCAGGCGCAATGCGCAAGAGCGTTGAATTATTAGAACCAAACAGTGGCCTGGCAGCCATGAGACTTGAAGTAATTTGGCTAGCAATATATCCATCCAGATGAGACATTCAAATCTTAGATGGAGTATTTGTTTCTGGTGCACGTGACTGAAGCGGCGAACTAAGGGAGTGAATCCGCTGCTGAGATTGACCGTGCTTTTGAGGTCTGGTACCTTGCAGAGGGACTTCGATGGCGGCAGAATTCCAAACTATTTTTGGTGTTGCCAACGACCTTGATACTACTCGTCGAATTGACTCTTTGCAGTGAGGCTGCAAGCCTTTTCACCCAGAGAGCGAGCCATGACACCAAGGCACCACTCCTAGTGCAAGAGACACTGGACATATCAGAGACTATTCAGAAATATCACAGAGCTCCAAACATCATTGGGACTCATGTCGCAAAGCCTTTCGCTTTGTGCTTTGGGCTTTACCACGAGATTTGATGAAATTCAGTGACAGGCTAGAATTTTATCAACACATCTGCTGGCTAAGTCCATGTTTCGGTTAGACTGCCGAATTGTTGTTGATTCAATTGTCCTTTCAATTCCCTCAGATACTGTTCTCAGCACCGTTCACATTGCTGTTTTCTTTGCCTTTTGTTGAGGTCTCACAAAGCGCAGGAGATCGCAGACTTGAATTCCAAGGAGGCAGGTTGATTGTGGCAGTGGCAGGGGTGACTGTTATCGGTCTCCAAGGACACCTGGTTGCTCATTGCGATCAGTACTGAATCCGCCCCGGATCAATGCAGCGTTGGTGCCAGAGCATGAGGCAGTGAGGAGTGCCATTGCCTTGCTGCCAGATCCTCAAAAATCGAAATTATGAGCGCTGTTTCCTGTTTGTTCGTGCGGCTTATGCCTCCTGATCAAGGGAGTTTGACGCCCGCAGAACAGTTTTTGGTGTGGACATGCATGGAGTGACGCACCAGGGCCATGTCAAGCTGGGGCTTCGCAGAACTCAGCAACACTTCTTGTTTGCATCACGAATGGGATCGCTAGATGCTGAATAACCACGCGGCTGTGATACTTGGAGATACTCTGAGGCTTACTCGCTGATTTGCCACCGTTACAACGGCGTG